AAAGAGACCCAAGGAAGGACTGGAAGGAAAGGAAGAGGCATCCACGGGAGGAGGGAATTCCGGCTGAGAAAGTGGGGGTAATGGGGTCACTTTGGGGCATTGCCTTGATCTGAGGCATCGGGCCCCCTGAAATGGGCTTTTGCGTGACTGCTGCTGTGCGATGACCCAGAACGCAACCCCCGTGGAAACGGCGAGTTGCCTGTGCTTAAGTTGCATTGTATTGCAGAAATAAAGTTCTGTTTGGTGGGGGTGACTGCAAATGCTTGGAGTTCTTTGTAAACCTCAGAGAATATGCAAGGAGGCAAAGCTTCTGTGATAATTCAGATGGTCCAGAAGGTTCAGTTAGTGGAGAATGTGTCTGGTAAGGAGGAAGATGGCCTTCGGGATGCGGAGATCCAAGCATGTCAGCGTGATCTCAGGACTGCAATACCTCAAGGGCCACCTCTTCCCATATAAACCTACCCGGACCCTGAGATCATCTTCTGAGGCCCTCCTTTGTGTGCCTCCTCCTTGAGAGGTCCGTAGGGCGGCAACACGAGAACAGGGCCTTCTCTGCAGTGGCTCCCTGTCTGTGGAATGCTCTTGCCAGGGAAGTTTGCCTGGCGCCTTCATTATACACCTTTAGGCACTGGGCAAAAACCTTCCTCTTTAACCATGCCTTTGGTTGACCTGACTGACATCCTATACCCTTTTAAAATGTGGCTCCTTTTGGGGGGGTGGGTGTTATTGGGTTGTTGTTTTTATTCTGGTTATATATGTTGTGATCTTTTCTGTGAACTCCCCTGAAACCTCTATGTATACAACAGTATATAAACTAAATAAATAAAAAATAATAAGAATAAGAATCTTCTTGTAAAGGGAGTGGGTTTCATGAGTTCACAGTGTTCAGATGTAGGTACTCTATGTAGAGCGTGTATATATTTGCATACATTCTAAAAGAATATATTGGTCCTGACCCCAACGAAGGTGCATTGCTATCTAAAATCCAAGCTGACCTTTCCACCCTATGCTGGCCCATGTCAAAACAGGGCAGCTGCTTCTCTGTGTTCTTGCAAACATGTTTTCTCCAGCTCTGCATCTGCTCCTCAAGCCACAGAGAGACTCCAGAAGGTTGCCAGGGCGATGCTTCCCCGCCTCATAAATATTCTTATTTTTCCCGGGGATTTCTCCAGGGATTTCTCCAGAGATTCATGATTTCTCGCACTGAGTCTGAAAAGTCTGGTGCATAAAATATCCCCTGTCTTGTCAATTCCCTAAACAGCTGCAGACGGTGAGAGGGATAGAGCAAAAAGCCTACATCACAAATGAAAAGTGGCTGTGCTCTTCCTTCTTTCCCTCGCGCTTTTAGGACACCCCAAACGGGCTAGTTTTAAATGTCACCACAAACATATTTTTGAGGGTGGCAGGTTGCGCACAACCATCTCATCCCCCTGCAATCCCAAGGGATGTGTTAGAGCGCCCCAACCTTCCAGGTGGCCCCTGAAAGCCTATTTTGGTTTAAGAGAGGGATGAACCTAAATATTGTTTTCAGGGTGGGTTGCTTGGACCCCCTATGTGAATTTCCTCTTGTTCTTGGTCACAAGGAATGGGTTTCAAGTCCCCCTGCCCTATGTGGCCCCTTCAGCCCCCATTTTGGTTTAAGGGCCCAATGAACCTGAACGTTTTGCCTGGGATGGGCTGTGAGGACTCAACACAACCAACTCATCAATTCTTTTCTTTTAATAGTTTTTATTTGTTTTTACAAGTATAAGATTATAACAATACAACCATATATATCTATATATAAAGATCTCTCCAAATCTTTGGACTTCTCACCTTCCCCTCCATGGGTTTCAACTGCATACTGTTCAATAGTCCATATTTTACATCACTCCATTTCTCCATAGCAATTGCTACAATACAAGTGTTATTGCAATCCTGCTAATGTTTTCATCTGCTTACAGTGGTCATCAACTCATCAATTCTGATCAGGAGGAATGGGTTTTGATTTCCCCCAATCTTCCACATGCTCCATTAAACTCCCCCCTTTTCTAAACTTGAGGGCCCAATGGAGCTAACCATTTTTGTGGGTTTCATGCTCTCTATAAGCGTGGTCTGTTGCATGTCCCCACAGCCATCTATGGGTCCCAGAAACACAAGGATCCTGAACACAAGGACCATAAAGTTCCTGCATCACTTTGATTGCGCAACGCACACTGATTGCTTCTTGGTGTCTGGAGTACGGATGGCTCCGCCTCCCGTGATTCTCCAATACAGTTTTCGGAAGTTCCAGGCAGCTGTAAAAGTTCTAAACAGTAAACTCTAATAAAATAAAGTTTTTAAAAAGTGCTAATACTTATGAGTAGTAATGTTACAGATACAGTGATTCCAACTTTACATTTCGGGGTGATCTTTTTTCACAACTGAGAAGAATTATTCCCCTTTTCAGTTTGTTTGTTTGTTTGTTTGTTTGTTTTTGAAGTCAAAAAGTTATAACTCTAGTGCATACTCTATTTTTTTTGGTTATATGCAGCAAAAAGGTCAGCTCCCACTCTTCTTCCTGGCTAGCCCTCCCTTCCCTTTTTCGCTCTCCTTTGGCCTAACTGCAGCAAAGGCCATTTTCTTTGCTTTCCAGTCCACCTAAGCAACAGTTGCCCAGGCTGCCCAGAACTGCCTTGTCCTTCACTCTTTTATCTACCCCCCTCCCCAACCAACAAGCCTTCACCCTCTCCTTTCCTCCTCCTCCTCTGTTTCATTGTCATTCGCTTTCCCACAACATTCCCACCACTGGAGAGACCTGTCAGGAATAAGCATGGGCGAATGGTACCAAATAGTATGGGAAACAGCCCTACTGGAAAAATTAACCAATAAACTGAAACTGACATGGGGACAAATAGAAGAAGACACCTTCACCCCTGTATGGCTCCCCTTTATCACACACACAGCCCAACAAGACAATGACAAAAGCCCACCAACAGCATACAAATCAATATGGCTAACCTGATCCAAAACACCCACCCACCCCACTCACACACGAAAACAAAGACCACCACAGCCAACCACAAATGAACAACCACACCCTGGGCCAACCCCAACCTCTCTCACCACCAAAGGAACACAAGTGAACAGCAAAGAACCTGCAGAAGCAACGCTGACACCAAACCCTACATATAGTAAGTAAAATAGAAACATCGCCACCCAATCCCACCCACCCGTCTTCCCCCCCTCCCCCTTTTCTTCATAATGTCTCAACAAATGAAACTGAACTGTAAAAATGTTACATGGAAAAAAATACTAGAGACATTGCACACTTTTGTAAATCATCAAATTTTTAATAAAAAACTGCCAAAACATTACCACCACTGTGGAAATGTCCGCCTGGAGCTCCCCCCTCCATAATACGCTCCCTTCTTACTACATTCAGTGGAAACTTTCGAGGATTTTTCTCAGGAAGTGAAATGAAACAGGGGCGGGGGGTGGCAGGAATTGAATTATTGGGGGGGGGTTAGAGATGACAGTTGAGCGGGTAAGATTCTGGCCAAATGTGGACCTAGGTCCCTGTGTATATGGTCTGAAGGCGCAAAATGTTAACAACACCTTTGCTGAGGCTGAAGAGAATAAGCAGAGGCCTAAATATAGGACAACTGGCTTATTACACCAGAAGCTTAACATGAGTCAACAGTGTGATACAGCAACTTTTTTATATATTAAATAATAATATTGATTACCCGCCCTCACTGTAAGGTCCCTGCATGGCTCACAAAATTTTAAAATACAGCATTGAAAGGTGTGTTTTTTTAAATTATACAGTTAGATGGAAAAATAACAAATTCTAACTCTAATAAAAATAATGTTGAAATCTTAGTCTGCTTCAACAGAAGTATAGTGTTCAGATCAAGGGAAGTAATAGTCCCACTCTATTCTGCCTTGGTCAGACCACACCTGGAATACTGTGTCCAGTTCTGGGCACCATAAATTAAGGAAGAGATTGATGAGTTGGCAGGTATGGGGTGGAGAATGACCAAGATGACCAAGGGCCAGGGAGGAATGGGGGAGACCACCTCTCCATCCTGACCCTCCCAGGGAGGAGGAAGAGGAAGACAGTGTAGATTTACAACAGGGGTTTGAGAGAAGTCACAGCTCAGAGGCAGATGAGGGGAAAAGTTGGGAAATCATGGGAGAGCCAGAGCAACACCTGGCTGACACGTCAGAGCAACACCTGGCTGAAACCATTCTAGACCCACCATCTCCCAGAACCCAGCGAGCCTTGAAAGTAGGAGAGCAAAGAGCTCAAAGACAGAGAGTACTTAGCAGCACCTGCAGAGGAGGTGATGATGATCACGAGTAAGGAAGTGGAGAGACTGGGGGACAACACCACTCAGGACAACACCATTATCCAGGAGGCTGGGTTCTATGGCCTCTCTCTGTAAGCTTGGGGAGGGGAGGGGAAAGGACTGTAAGAAACTTTCCCTTGTCTTTATAATTTCCTGGGCAATCAGCCAGGAACCATTGATAGCACCCTAACATTGGGTATGTTTAGTCTGCATAGAGGCCTACATTTGTTATTTTCATTTATACTTACTCCTATGCCAGAAAGGGCATTGTATAATTGGATGGATATTTCCCTAAAATTAAGAAAAATAGAGATGACCGGCAGAATCCACGATCAGGGGAGTGAGACAGTGGAAGAAGATTGGAAGAAATTCAAAAAATATCTTAAAGACTGTTGTAAGATTGAGGATTGCTGAGATGTTACGGTGATAAGAAATAGAGAATTGCAGCTGTAAATCATAACTTTAAGGAATGTATAAAGGAAATGAGGGAATTAATTGAATGGAGGGTTGCTGAGAAAGGGTAAACATAAGGATGTAGAAAAAGGGAGGTATGGGGAAGTCCGAGAAACAAGGTGTATGAAAATATGTTTAAGAAATTATACATGTTTGTTTGTTTTGTTCTGTGTTGTTTTATTATATGTTTGGAAAATTAATAAAAATTATTTAAAAAAAAATAAAATTAAGAAAAATAACAGGAGTGACAGTGGACATCCTTGTTCCGTTCCAAGAATAATTACAAAATTTTGGTAATGTGAATCCTCCGTGATCTATGTGATCTATATCTTTCAAAGTATTAACAAATTTTCAACCAAATCCAAATTTAATAACTACTTCCATTAAGTTGGTTGGTTCTACATGATCAAATGAGCGTAACGATTTTTTAAACATCATTTTCCAAGAATCTCACTTCCCTACCTTCTTGAAAAATAATATTTTAAGAATCAGATGCTATCTTTAGTTTTTGCTGTCAGGTGCTCCTTTGCATTCAGATCAGGCCTCAGTACAATAATGTAGCACTTGGGGAGGAAGATGCAGCCCAGAAGCCCAGCACTGGAGGCCAAGATGGAGAAGACCTGCACGGCTACCATGTATTTCCCTTTGGTGCTCAGGTAGGTGGGCACAAAGGACACCCAAACACTGCAGAAGACCAGCATGCTGAAGGTGATCAGCTTGGCCTCATTGAAGGCCCCAGGCAGCTTCCTGGCCAGGAAAGCCACCGTGAAGCAGATGGCCGCCAAGAAGCCCATGTAGCCAAGGGCACCATAGAACATGGCCACAGACCCTTCGTTGCATTGCAGGATGATCTCTCCAGGCTGAGAGTGCATGTCAGAGTCTGGGAATGGTGGCGAGATCCCCAGCCAGATCATGCAGATGACAACTTGGACACAGGAACAGGAAATGACAATGGAGTTGGCCAGACTCTTCCCCAGCCATCTCCTCACCTTGTTCCCTGGCTTGGTGGCCAGGAAGGCCAGAACCACAGTGATGGTTTTTGCCAAGACAGAAGAAACAGCAACAGAGAAGATGATGCTGAAGGCTGTTTGTTGGAGAAGGCAGGTCCCTTTCCTTGGCCTCCCAATGAACAGGAAGGAGGACAAAAAGGAAAGCAGGAGGGAGACCAGGAGGATGTAGGAGAGGTCCCGGTTGTTGGCTTTGACTATGGGAGTTTCGTTGTATTTAATAAAGATTCCTAAGTCAAAGCTTGTGGCTAAGGACCCCAGTAGGGCAAGGGAAAGTAGGACAACCCCCAGAGATTCTTCATAGGCTAGGAAGGTGATATGCTTGAACACACATTGATCTCGGTTCATGTTTGGATGCTGATTTTCTGGGCATTTTTTGCAATGGTCTGCATCTGCAAAAGAGAGAGAGAAAGAGTAATGTCTACTACTCTGGATTCAGCCAAGCCCTGAGCAATATCCAGCCTCTTGGGAGAGATTCAGTTGTAGACCAAGTCAGTCTGGGACAGCCACAGATCACAACAGGTATTTAATTAGGTTTTTCTAAACATTAGCTCTACCCCGAAGAAATTTGGAACAGATTCCAGGGCTGGAGATCCCCAGCTTCGCCTCTGGCAGGTTGGGCTGCTTGGAGCCCCCTAAACCAGGGCCAAAAGGAGGATCAGGGGTCTGTGCAGAAGTCTAATATCTACCCTAGGTCCATAACAATCTCCCTCCTTAAGGACCCCGGGACAGTTAAGTCTAGTCAAAGGCAACTATGGGGTGCAGCGTTCATCTTGCTTCAGGCCGAAGGGGATGGTGTTCATCTCGCTTCAGGCCAAGGGAGCTGGTGTTTGTCCACAAACAGCTTTCTGGGTCATGTGGCCAGCATGACTAAACCGCTTCTGGTGCAAAGCTTCACTATGACGAATGCCAGAGCGCACGGAAACACCGTTTACCTTCCCACTGCAGTGACACCTATCCATCTACTTGCAGTGGTGTGCTATTGAACTGCTAGGATGGAAGAAGCTCAGAGAGAAACGGGACCTCAGCCTATCGCGTGGTTTCGAACTGCTGCCCTTCCGATCAGCAAGACCAAGAGGCTTTGTGGTTTAGACCTCCCTCCTTCACATTTGATCATATTTATATATATATATGATGTTGATGATGATACATTTTAGAACAATATAGTAAACTTTAAACATAAAAAGAGATTGATGATGATGAGAATTTGAACCACCCAGTTCATTCCCACACATGAAGCATACCAGACTGATCCTGCCCAAAAATGGTTTTGAGAGATTCCTGACTGAACCCTTCTCTCTTCCCCAAGGCCAGCCTTTCCCTTGGAGTCACCCACCTTCCTGAGTGGAGATGGTCCCTTCTGCACAGGGAAGACATTCATAACAGCAAAGAGGCTTCCCTTCCTGAATCACCTTGACGGATCCAGGGCGACAGCTTTCCACACACGTGGAAGTAGGAAGGCTCTAGGCACAAAGACGAAGAGCGTCAATGAGAATTGTTTTTTGAGACATAGTATGTTGTTATCTGCTGAAACTAAGCATTTCCCATCACTGTCCATTACATGAATTATTCATGATTAAATTCAGAAAAAAAAGGACCTCCATTAAATAAAGTTCTGTATATGGGCCATTCACTACTGATAGAAATTCATGTAACAACCGAAAAGCAAGGAACCCCCCTTTTCCCAGACACACAGTTTAGCAGGAAGTCTCCTTTGGCACCAAGCTGAGCAGAGGAGCTGTAGGAACTATCTGGAACAACAGCCCAGTGCTGGAGTTGAGAGGCAAGTGAGGGCAGCAGCCCACAGAACAGGGAGCACTTATTAGAGCTCACAGAAAAGACAGCAAAATGACAGGCATCATTCCCACTCCCCGTCACCTGATTGAGCCACTTGGGCCACACAATGGCCTCCTGGTCGATGGAGCACTTCAGGTCTGGGGATCCTTGTCTGTCAATACTCCCAAACTTCACTCTGAGGACGGATTTATTGGGGAACACCACCCAGTTCACAATGTCCAAGTCGGCTGCCAGCTCCCCGTTCCTCATCCAAATACACTCTGTCCATGGAAGAATTGTAGAACTGGGTGTTTCCTAGGAAAGGGTGGAGCTGGAACAGAAGCAAAGATGAGAGCATTTAGAATAAAGGGAAGCATAGGCCCCTGTTTTGCTGGCCCAGAAATGGAAAGTCAGCGAGGTCCCAGCTAAGAGAGCAAGAAGAAGATACATTGAAAGAGGTTTGGAAAGCATTTATTGAATATATGGAAAATAACAGTATACAGCTGAAAACGGTGGCAGCATTAAGATAAATTCAACCACGTAAATAATGTTTGATGGATGTAAAAGTAGAAAACTGATTTGAATGGTTATAGCAAAATATACAGGGGTGTATAAGATGTAAAATGAACCATGGAAAGAGAAGAAGGGAAGTCATCGGATATTTTAGAGTTTGTAAAATGTTTATTTGGAATTGTTCAATTGAAAATTTAATAAAAATTATATAATAATAATAATGGAAGCATACTGTCAGGGAACTGACATCGGAGCAGAGTGGAGAGGCGAGGCTCCCAGATTCTGCCGGAGAGGGGACTAGTAAGGGAAGAGAGAGAACGTCCTCTGGGAAAGAAGTCCAGGTGACACCAGGAAGAAGGGAGAGGCAGAGAGCACTTCGGAGGGGAGGCTCCGAGACTCTTCCAGTGAAGGCTTCCGCGCAGAGAGGCGAGGAGGAGGTTGTCCGTTAAGGAATTCTTATGCTGGAGGAAATTTAGGAAACACCCACTGACGGATTCTACCAGCGACTGAGGCAGCCGCGCAAAAGGGCTGCTCAGCCAGGGAAAGACGCAACCGCCCCCAAGCAGTTGCAACAGCTGGAGGTTTACACACAAGCAACCCCAATTCCCTTGATACATACTGACAATCCACTTCCCCTTTGCTTAGGGCTGGTTGCAGACTCAAATAGTCATGGAGGGATCTTGTCACTTTTGGTTCATACTGTTTTCTCTCTCTCACACACCCCAATCTTAAATTCAGTTCTCCACATTTCTGAAGCATTTTTTAAATAATAAAAAAAACCTCATCATAATTCTTTAGCATTTCTGTGTGATTTTCTCCTAGTAGGCATGTTTTTGAAGGATTCTTTCAGAAAGAGTGAATTAGGTTTGTTTTTCCTTTCAAGGCAACCTGAATGAAATCTCCAATATGGGCTTCAGCAGGGAAAGGCAGGAGCTTGGTGGAGGGAGCAGAGAGCCAGAAGAGAGTCAAGCGGGTGTGAAAGGAATAGAGATTAGAGACAGCCTGATCAATATCATCTCCCCTGCCAAAAATAATTCCAACTTGCGGGGAAAGGGAATTGGGCACATGATGAGAGCAATTGCGTGGGGAGCTGTGCAATGAGACAAGAATAAGAATAGTAAACAGAATTGAAAAAAGTACATGTATTAAGGAAGGTTTAAAATGGAAAATGGGTAATGTGTTTTGCAAACTTTGGGTTTTTTCCATAGTGTTTTTTTTCTAAAGGGCTCTGGGCTCTTGCTGAGATTAAGATTAACTAACTGGTTGCTGTTCTTTGCTAGCTAACATGTGAGTGTTGTAACCATAGATCATGTGATGAAGGTATTGGATTGCAACATCTCCTTTTTGAAGGGAGTTGCCTTTTTGTCTTTGGCTCCAAAACTCAACAGAGGCAATATGTAAAGGAAGCTGTCCTGAAGGTAAAAGAGAGAGAGAGAGAGATCCCGAGCCTGTGTTGGAGAGAATGATGTTCTCATTCTGTTATGAAGAGTTCTGCCAGTAAAAAGTGAATAATATTTCTATGCGCCTGGACAATAATTCATTTCCAAAAGGAAATGAATGCTTCCAGTTCTTATGCTTCCAATCATTTCAAACTGCACAATATTTAATATCTGCAACACTACAGTCGATTGTCATGCTCAGATGTGATGTCTATGAAGGGAAAGAAAATACCTGCCATGGCTGTAGCCTTTGAAGTCCCATTCTCTCAGTTCCCCTCTGCTTAGATCTAGATGAATATGCAGCATTTAAGGCACGAGCTACGGCTTGCAGAGTGTTGTAGATCCTGTAGCTGTCTAGAGAGAGGATTCTTTCCAGATCATCTTGGGGAAGCCTCTCCAGTTTCCCTCTCTCTCTGCATCTTGTCCGGCCTTTCACTGAGAATGCATGCTTTAAATAAAAACAATTAAAAGCATCCTCCCAAAACTTCTTAATACCAGAGAAAAAGGGTGGAAAATCACCGTATTTTGCCCCTTTACTTGTCTCAGTGAAGAAGGAAAATATACCATGGATGTGTTGGAAAGATATCTCATTATACATCAGCTCCAGGGCGACATCCCACAAAACTGTTGTGATGAAAATTTTCCCAACAATGGATTTCATCACTTTGTCAAAAATATATTGTACAATGAGTAGTCCATCTAAGAAAAAAGTCATTTCACCATAGTAAACAAATACATGCACTTGCCTCCACTTGAGGAATGGAAGATGAGGAATGTATACTGCATTTGTATTCAGTCCTTGGATGCTTAGTGAGATGACAACACAGACACCGCTCTTGATGAGCACGGGTGTCAAGCTCTTCAGGAACCTCTCTCCATTGTCGGTGTCTGGTGCAAGGAGGCCAATCAAGGTCCATCGGAAGTGCTGGAGCAGCTTGACAATCCCTGGGTACAGGGCTTCTTCTTTGGGGACCATCCGGTAGAAAAAAGGGAAATGCCTCTTATCATTCAGAACATGAGAGACAAAAGCATAAGTGACCTGGGAAGAGAAGGAAGATTTGGATCTGGTTTGATTTCAGATCAAAGCCTAAATATTTCTAAGCCCAACATGAGATTGGGAAGGTCTTAGGAAGGAGGAAGGTCTATTGCAAGGACCCTTTGGTGGGAACAGTGATTTCCTTGAAGTTTGTGGCAGCCATAAAGAAGGCAAAATTGATGCTAGGGATCAACAGGAGGGAAATTGAAAATAAGACTGCCGGTGTCATAATGCTATTATACCTCTCTCCATTCCTACCTGTGGGATTTTATAGATGCCCAACACGTTTGAAATCTGGATGGAGTTTTGAGAGTCGGACCCTTCGAGAACAGCCAGTAAGTTAGTCTGTTTACCACAGCTGTAGTTTGGAAAGTTCAGCTGCCCAATGGACAGCATGTCTAGCAAAGCATCATAGGTCATCCTTCCATCAAAAAAGTTCTCATGGATGCTGTAGCCCAGGGTGATGTTGGGTAACAGCTTTTGATTCTGGTTGATCACTTGAATGGCATACAAGAAGGAGAGGAGCTGCCAGTACTTTGTGGGTCCTTTCCTGGGGGGAGAAATTATATACATGCCAGCACTGTCCAAGTAATATTTCTGTTCTACCGCTAATATTCAGCTCTACCTCTCTTTCAAATCAGAACCAGTGAAGGGTTCCTGTGTGAGTGTCTGGAGGCGGATGGAGGATGGATGGTGGCTAACAGATTGAGGCTGAATCCTGACAAGACAGAAGTACTGTTTTGCGGGGACATGAGGCAGGCAGGCGTGGAGGACTCCCTGGTCCTGAATGGGGCAACTGTGTCCCTGAAGGACCAGGTGCGCAGCCTGGGAGTCATTTTGGACTCACAGCTGTCCATGGAGGTGCAGGTCAATTCTGTGTCCAGGGCACCTGTTTACCAGCTCCCTCTGGTACGGAGGCTGAGACCCTACCTGCCAGCAGATTGTCTTGCCAGAGTGGTGCATGCTCTAGTTATCTCTCGTTTGCAATGCGCTCTATGTGGGGCTATCTTTGAAGGTGACCCGGAAACTACAACTAATCCAGAATGCGGCAGCTAGACTGGTGACTGGGAGCGGCCGCCGAGACCACATAACACCAGTCTTGAAAGATCTACATTGGCTCCCAGTACGTTTCCAAGCTCAATTCAAAGTGTTGGTGCTGACGTTTAAAGCCCTAAACGGCCTTGGTACAGTATACCTGAAAGAGCGTCTCCACCCCCATCGTTCTGCCCAGACACTGAGGTCCAGTGCCGAGGGCCTTCTGGCAGTTCCCTCACTCCAAGAACCCAAGTTACAGGGAACCAGGTAGAGGGCCTTCTTGGTAGTGGCACCTGCCCTGTGGAACACCCTCCGACCAGATATCAAAGAGAAGAACAACTTTTTTTTAGAATACATGTGAAGGCAGCCCTGTTTAGGGAAACTTTTAATGTTTAACAGACCACTGTATTTTAATATTTTGTTGGAAGCTGCCCAGAGTGGCTGGGTAAACCCAGCCAGATGGGTGGGGTATAAATTTATTATTATTATTATTATTATTATTATTATTATTATTAGGGATCTAAGACAGTGATTAAAAGATCCAGAAAGCACTAGCATAATTCCGCTTTGAGAAAGTAGCTAATTCCCCCTTGTATATTAAACCTAAGGCAAAAAGAGACCCTTCTCCTACCATCATTTTCCAGGAAAATCCTGCAGAATCAGTCCAAAGGCTCATCTGTTGTTCCAGCATCCTCAAGTCAGCCAACCAGATGCACATGGAAAACTGAGAAGCACAAGAACTCTTCCCCTACTTGAGATTCTCAGTTACTGGTACCCAAAGGCATAGTGCCTGTGACAGTGAATGGAGAACATAGCCATTGTGACTGGTGGCCGCTGAGAGCCTAATCATCCCCCAAATTATCTGCCATTGGGATCTCCTTATGTGCTTAAAGGCAGGTACCAGACAATGAGAAAGGCCCCAGAAAGTAACTGGAGATGAGTTGGATCTCATGGAAATGGTAGCAAGTGGAACACCAGGAACTCCATCCCCACAAAAGGTCTTACCAATAAAAGCTGGTGGAAGGACATTGGCTAAAGATATGAGGATGAAACACAGTGTTTGTGGCAGAGAGGACCCCGCCGATGAGGTGGTCTCCTGGCCTGAAATAATTAGGTGAATCTATCTCATCCCTTTCCAAAGACAAGAGGCATTTTGTCTTCAGTTTCCCACTGTCCCCATAAGGCAGTAGAAGCAGTAGAACGAGGACCATCTTTTTCCTCCCAGGAACAACCACCTCCCTTACAAAGAATTAGAAGTCTTTTGTTGTGGTGCTTGCAAGATGCAGTAACTTTCTTCTTACTAACGGAGCCCTGCAGAGGGGTCACATCTGAAGTGGAGAGAAGTCAAGCCAACCTCATTCTGGTGCAGTTATCATCTGTCCTAAATCTCAGCCCACCCAAGTTTTGGGTGGCTCAGGAGGCATATATCTGCCAGACCTTTCTGCCTCAGATCCATAACATCACGCTTAGTGGACTCAGATGTGATCTTTGGAAGCAAAAATACAACACACACTATCATTTTGATAATTATATGGAGAAGAAGTACCACCTCTGCAAGTTCCTAAACACTTTATGCAGCTCCACCTGCAACTGTAGGGCTGAAGAAAAACATGTTTGCGAAAACTCCAAGATCTGCCTGCAAACTGTGAGATGCAAATGCCAAAGATTGGTGGAAAATACCAAGATTAAGAGTTAGAAGTTACTTGAACTATTCTACATGAGCCCTGGCAGAATCCCCCGCCCGCCCGCCCCACCTCCCATGATGCTAAGACAGGATAGGGCTATTCTGATGAATTTGGGAGGTGAACAAGGGGACGGAAATTTCACGTAAAGACAGAGGCGATTCAGCAGCTTTTTTTGTAGGTTTCTTGTTTTGTTTTTGTTCTTGTTTTTATTCTATACTTTTTGGTCGTATCCTGTATTTTTATGCTGTGAGCCACCCTGAAATCATCGGGTGAAGGGCGGTGTAGAAATTTAATAAAGAAACAGACAAACAACACTTGGAATTCCAAAAAAAGCTTTCAACAAGGTGACTCCTGGGTAAGCTTAGTAGTCGTGGAATAAGAGAAGAGGTCCTCTGGTGGATCAGGAATGGAAGTTGCAGGAAGCAGGAAAATAGGTTTAAGTGGATAGTCCTTCAAATGGGGGTGTGTGGTGTCAGATGTTCTTGACCAAAATCTCGCAAGGACAATCTGGCCACATCATGTTGCACCAACTAGAGATTCTGCACCAGACCCAAGGGCAGCCCCAGAAAGAGTGCATTGCAGTAGTCCAGCTCCAAGTTTTCCATTACTCCAGTGGTCAGGCTATTCCTGTTCACAAACAGCCATAGAGGACACGTGGGTCTCTAGTGACAAAGACGTATCCAAGAGTACCCCCAAACTATGCACTTGTTCCTTTATAAGTGGGAATCATCGAAAGAGCCTACAGATTGTGTGTCAAGTTCCTGTGTTCCTGTCACTCCCTAAGTGATGAAAAACCAGACAAGACAACAGCATAACATTGGGTCCAAATGAGCCACAACTCTATTGATTACAGATGTGAATGGTTTGGCATCGGCATTGCGTATAGCCATTTATTCCACCCCAGTCCATCTGCTGGGGGTGCATCTAAGGGTAATCCACACCTGCCCCCCCCCATGACCTACATCAAGTAGGGGTAACCACCGAGGGGCCCCTGTTGGAGGAGTGCTATGGCCCTAGTCCCTGCCTGGGCATCCGGACAGAAGCAACTCCTCACAGATCCCTTTAACAGGATACCCTTAACCAAGAAGGGGCGGACATGGGAAACCAAGTTGATGGACTATGCTGAAATGGCAAAAATAACTGGGAAGCTCAGAAAGCAAGACCATTGTAAGCAGGTTAAAACATTAGCAGGATTTTAACCACACTTGTAAATTAATGGAAAGTATGGACAATTTGGAAAGACAAAATTTGGACAGTTTTGATATGCAGGTGTAAATATTACCACTAGGACCCATAGAAGGGATGGGGGGGGGAGTCAGGAGATTCAGCGTAATTTCAGCATTTGAATCTTGTATTGCTTTTTGTTGTATGTTTCTTTATGTTTTAAAATAATATATATATATATTAAAAAAACAACAACAAACTGCTAGTTTGGCAGGAGGTGGGACAGAGCAATGGGAGCTTGCCACTGTCGCACGGATTTGAACCGTCAACCTTCCAACCAGCAAGCCCAAGAAGCTCGGTAGATCACAGTGCCACCCATGTCCCTAGAGCTATGTGTTATTGGCATACTATTATAGTTAATAATAATAATAATAATAATAATAATAATTTATTATTTGTACCCAGCCTTCAGAGCTGGACCTCAATGTGGAGGTGGAGACGCTCCTTCAGGTATACTGGGCCGAGCCCATTTAGGGCTTTAAAGGTCAACACCAATACTTTGAATTGTGCTCGGAAACGTACTGGAAGCCAACGTAGGTCTTTCAAGACCGGTGCTATGTGGTCTCGGCAGCCGCTCCCAGTCGCCACTCTAGCTGCTGCATTCTGGATTAGTTATAGTTTCTGGGTCACCTTCAAAGGTAGCCCCACGTACAGCACAGTGCAGTAATCCAAACAAGAGATAACCAGAGCATGCACCACTCTGTGGACACAGTCCGCGGGCAGGTAGGGTCTCGGCCTGCGTACCAGATGCAGCTGGGAGACACTGCCCTGGACACAGAATAAACCTGCACCTCCATGGACAGCTGTGAGTCCAAAATGACTCCCGTACTGCGCACCTGGTCCTTCAGGGGCACAGTTACCCCATTCAGGACCAGAGAGTCCTCCACACCAGCCCACCCCCTGTCCCCCAAGAACAGTACGTCTATCTTGTCAGCATTCAACCTCAATCCATTAGCCGCCATCCATCCTCCAACTGCCTGGTGGCCCCTTGCTCCAAAACTCCTCAGGACCACACCCCATGACTTCATATAGATTTTAAAGAGCGTATAGATCTTAAATAGTGCTGGGGAGAGAATAATACCTTGCAGCACCCCATAGTACAAATGCTGGGGTGGGGGTGAGGAGCAGTCATCAAGCGCTTCTTTCCGGACATGACATTGAAGATATGGACAGAACCACTGTAATATGGTGCCTCTGACACCCATCTCACTAAGTCAGTTCAGGAGGATACCGTGATTGACGGCATCAAAATTAAAAAAGGGCAACCCAAATG